GAGTTCAAGACCAGCCTAGCCAACATAGGCGAAAACCTTCTCTCTACTAAAAATACAAAAATTAGCCAGGCGTGGTGGGCACCCACCTGTAGCCCCAGGTACTTGGGAGGTTGAGGCAGGAGAATCACTTGAACCTGGGAGGCAGAGGTTGCAGTGAGCTGAGGTCGTGCCCACTGACCTCCAGGCTGGGAGACAAAGCGAGCCTCCATCTAAACAAACAAACAAAAAATTCCAAGTCATTAGGAAGTTCTCAGGACCTAGGGCCAAGGGCCAGGCCTTTCTCTGGGCAGAAAAGGAATCCTCTTAGCACAGGAATCAGCGAGGGGAGCCCTGGAGGCCCCACACATCATTACAAGGCCTCACACCAGAAGCCACATTTCTCTAAGTCTGTTTTCATTTAGTTTTTGGTGGATCAGGGGGTGTTTTTTTGTTGTTTTTTTTGGTTTTTTTTTTTTTGGTTTGTTTGTTTTTGAGGCAGGGTCTTGTTCTGTCATGTTAGGCTGAAATGCAGTGGCATGATCACAGCTCACTGCAGCCTCGACCTCCTGGGCTCGAGTGATCCTCCTGCCTTACCCTCCCGAGTAGCTGGGACCACGGGCCAGCACCCACCACACTCAGCTAATTTTGTATTCTTTGTAGAATGGGGGTCTCGTTATGTTGTCCAGGCTGATCTCGAACTCCTGGGGTCAAGTGATCCGCCTGCCTCGGCTCCAAAAGTGCTGGGATTACAGACGTGAGCCACCGCAGCTGGCCAAGTGTTTCTTTTCTCAGCTCCTCCTTTCATGGCCTTCATCATCCCTCAAGCAATTCTACCACGCAGGTGATCTACATGGGCCGCAACCCCCGGGACGTCGTGGTCTCCCTCTATCATTACTCCAAGATTGCCGGGCAGTTAAAGGATCCGGGCACGCCCGACCAGTTCCTGAGGGACTTCCTCAAAGGCGAAGGTGAGGACAGGGCAAAGCCAGGCAGGAGGGGTGGGGAGGAGCCCCAGAGGACCCTGATGGGCAGAGGAGGGACAGAGGAGGGGTAAGAAAGGGAGAGAGGCAGAGACACAGGGCATCAAAAGGAGCAATGGAGACAGAGAGCAGGCAACCAAGAGAAGAAGAGACGGAGGGAGAGAGACCGAGAGACCAAGAGATGCAGGACAAGCAAGGGACAGAGGAGACAGAGACAGAAAGACACTCAGATACAGAAACGACTGAGAGAGAGGCACAAAAAAAGAGACAGGGCCAGCACAAGTGGTCAACGCCTGTAATGCCGCCTTTTGGCAGACCAAAAGGCAGGCAGATCACTTGCCACTCAGGAGTCAAGACAGCCCACTGGCCAATGTGGAAACCCCATTTCTCAGTTAAAAATACAAATTCGCCAAGCATTTGTGGCTTACGCCGCTAATTCCAGCTACTCAGAGGGCTGGGTGGGCGAGGATCACTTGAGCCCATGGGGGTAGGTGGCAATGAGCAGAGATCGCGCTATGCAATGCCTCTTGAACCAAGCCTGGGCACAGCAGGTGAGACCCTGTCCCTCAAAAAAATTAATTAATGAATAAGTAAAAAAAAAAAATACTGGGCGCGGTGGCTCATGCCTGTAACTCCCGAGACTCTTGGATGCCGAGGTGGCCGGATCCACAAGGTCGAGATCGAAACCACCCTGGCTACTCGGTGAAACCATCTCTACTACAAAAATACAAAAAAATGCGTTGGCAGTCGCCCCTGTAGTGCCCAGCTGACTTCGGGAGGCTGAGTAGGAAAATGGCGTGAATCCCGGGAGGCGAGCTTGCAGTGAGCCGAGATTGTGCCCACTGGCACTCTCAGCTGGGCGACAAGCGATGACTCCATCTCAAAATAATTATAAATATAATAAAATTAAAAATAAAAAGAGTAAAGAATAACATGCATGAAAAGAGAGACAGACTCAGAGAGACGACAGGAGAGACCAAGGGAAAACAGGAGGGACACAGGCCCAGGGTACTAAGACAGGCAGCGCCTTTGGCCACGTGTGTCTTTTATCTCTTCGCTGTCAAGAGAACCTGGCTTTGGAAGGGAATCAGGTGCGCGGAGGGGGACTGGCATTGGACAGATGGGACACAGGCACCCAGACGGCAACCAGGGGAGAAGCAGGTGGACAGATCCCAGACTTGGTGAGACTGTGTGGGGCTTGGGGGCGGACCTGGGGTTTTGTGGGGCACAGCTAGTTAGACCCAATGGCCCCCGTGGGGCTGCGGGGACCCCTGTCATTGCCCTCACCAACTTGTCCCCCTGCCCACATGCAGGCATTTGGCCCTCCTGGTTCCGACCCACCATTAAGCGGCTGCTTCGGATGCAGGGCCAAAGACAACCTTCCTATTTATCACCATACGAGAGAGCCTGAACAGGTTGAGTCCCACCTCCCCCAGGTGCAGCATCCCCTGCCCGATGCCCTCTGCTCACACACCCACTCTCTCCCCTTCTTTGAGGGTCTCAGGCCCTCCGCTTCCCATGCAATGCGCCAGCCTCTGGGATACTGCAGCACAGAACAGAGGCCCTGAGCCCTGTAGCAGGACCAAGACAAATCCCTAAAACCACACAGCGAGCTTAGCGGGGCAAGGCCTAAGAGCCAAAGCAAAGTGGGGAAGGAATAACAAGGCAATGGGCAGGGCGAGATTTACACAGGAGGGTCGTGGCCGGATGCAGTGGGCGCGACACTGTAAGCCAATGCTTTGAGAACACTGAGGCCGGGCGGACCCTTGAGGCCCAAGAGGTTGAGGCCACCCATGAAGCTTGATGGTGCCACTGTAACAGCCTGGGCCACACCTCAAAACCCGCTGTCTCAAAACGAGAGAGAGAAGGGCCAGGTGTTGGTACTCACCCTGTAATCGCCCAGCGACTTTGGGAGCCCAAGGCAGGTGATCACTTGAGTTAAGCGAGTTTGAGACCAGCCTGGCCAACATGGTGAAACCACATCTCTACTAAAAATACAAAATTAGCTGGCGCAACAGTGGCACATGCCTGTAGTCCCGGCTACTAAGGAGGCTGAGGCACGGAAGAATGACTTGAACCCAGAAAGCGGAGGTTGTGGTGAGCTGAGATTGCACCCTGCCACTCCAGCTGGAGCGACAGAGCAAGACCCTTGTTCCAAAAATAGAAAGAAAAAGATTGAACCGGCCCGGGAGCGGTGGCTCAAGCCTGTAATCCCAGCACACTTTTTGGGGCCGACAGGACGGGGCGGATCACGGAGGTTCCAGGAACGATCCGAGACCATCCTGGCTAACACGGTGAACCCTGTCTCTACTAAAAATACAAAAACCCAGCAACGGGCGAGGTGGCGGGCGCCTGTAAGTCCCAAGCTAATTGGGGAGGCTGGAGGGCAGGCAGACATGGCGCAAAACCCGGGAGGGCGGAGCTTGCAGTGAGTGAGATCCGGCCCACTGCACTCCAGCCCAGGCTTACGAGCAAGACTGCCGCTCTCAAAAAAAAAAAAAAAAGAAAAAGATTAAACCACAATGAAATACCTGTATTCAACCAATCTTTATTTATTTGGTATTTATTTAATTTAATTATTATTTAGTTTTGAGACAGAT